AAGACCTTTATTTGTTCCTGAGGGGCAATTGGTTTGCTGCAGTACCAATAAAAAACTACAACAGACACACAAAGAAAAGCTTACAAAAAAACACACATACATTACTACACATAGTAAAAAAACACATAAATACAGGGGTAAACGCTCAAGTACAAAATTACAATATTGGTAAAAGAAAAAGCATAAAAAGATATGGTTGGAGATGTGCTGATGGCACCCCGTTGGTTGGGGTATAGTGAGTGAGCAGAACTGTTTCTTCACCATGTTCCTCTACAATGTGTTGTGCCATGCATTTGGGGTTTTTTGGTCTCCGCAGTACACAAATAAAATCCTCACTGCCCTTCAGATCAGGAAGAATGTTCTGATGTTTCACCCTCAGGTGAAATAAACTTTGCCTCACGCACAATGTCTTTAACTCTACTTCTCCAGTCTAATGTATAGTTTAATTTAGATTTGACCATGTAATTTATGGCCGCACCAGTCAACGTATTGAACATCATTTTATATCCATTTCCCTTGAATTCAGCCTGATATATGTGGTGTCTTTAGAAAAAAATAAATTTCTGTGTTTAAAAAAAAAAAGGAGTTTGTAAAGAAAGGATCACTGCAGAGTTAAAGAGGTTAAATCTAAATCTACCAAGTTTGTATGCATTCCATTTAAATCAGTAGCCACTGTTTGAATGCATTTTCAAGTGCTATAATGACATGTAAATTAACTGTCAATGTAAAGGTTTTCCATCAATGTACTAGCACACAAGCCTGGCAGATTGTCTATGCTGGACAGTGACCAGGTATTGATTTCTCAGGTATTCGTGGTTTTCAGTGAAATTGAGGCTTATCACATGCCGTCTGTTATCAGCAGTCTTCTGGGGAACTGGCTCAGTACTGTACCTGACAAGCCTGTAAAGAGAAATGTTTGTGTAGTCCATCCTGACGCGTAGATTTGTGGTTTTTCCCTCAGTGAGAGAACTCTGTGAGAAAACCCCCCGCGGCACTGAATACATGCCACATGATTTATTGTGCCTGTTAAAATGCAAATGAAGCAATGGGTAGAAGAAAAACAAGTGTTTTCTGCAACACTGTAGTCACCTATAAGTACACAGACCTGTGGCACACTCCTGCTATTTTGATCACAGCCATCAAGAGAAAATTAAGGAATGCACACTACAGTGCGGCCAAGGAGAGGAAGATAGTGAAAATAAATGAAATGTCTAGAAACTGACTATGGGCTGTGCTTTCACTTGAAAATGTATCTGTCATAAAAGTGCAGTAAACACAAACGTAACATGTTCTGAGAGGCGTACAAAATAATTTAAAAAGAAACATTATCAATCATTGCAAAGCCTGTGCTACGGAGGGTGTCTGCAGGGTTTTTAAAAAGTGCAACTGAATGTGCCACTGAAGGGCAAGCATGTGCAGGAAGAAGTCTATTTTAAAGTTTTAAGACTGAATATGTGTCAACAAGACTGTCCCACTTCAAAGTCCCAGAGAATTGTGGCCATCATTTGGCCTAATTTCTGTCAGTTTCCTGTTTAATGGTGCGTTCCGGGCACTGCTTGTCGACTCGTAAAGTCTGGAAATTTTACATGTCAGTGGTAAATATGTCACATAAAATAGACCAAAGTAATTGCAGGATGTAAATAATGGAAACAAACTTTGTGGCCTGGACATTGGGCTGTTTAAAGCAGATATTATGGGAGAAGTGAAATGTCAACTCATAAATGTAAACTTCAGTAATGGATCAGTGGTGTTATTGTTTAGTTGTGGTTTTATGTGATTGGAGGGGTTAGCTGGTTGCCATTAATGACAGTTTATTGGATAAATGTGCGTGTTTAGTGCAGAATGAGTGTTCAAAAATGCTTTCATATTTTACAGGCAGAAATTAGATCTATAGATACTCAAAAATGTTCTTTTTTAAAATATATATGACAGATGCCATGGCATAGCAGAACCATGAGGGATCAGATCTTAAAAATGTAATGTTTATGTCACTGGGTCTTTATTCATGATCATTCTACTTGTGATTATACGTGTAACGTTAAAGTGCACCAGTGACAGTGTAACAACACACATGCTGCATTGCAATCTGGTCCATGGAAGTAATTCTTGGTAGAGAAACTCCTTCTCTTCTATGATGAATTTCTCTTTATGCAATCAATCAACAGCATAAAGTGGCAGCTCTAGACACCCTTGCACATAAATTTGGAGGAGCTGACACTAAATCCTAATGCTTATGGCTGATGGTTTAGATCAAAGTTGGTTGTTGCTGCAGGAACTATATCTTGATGTGACATTACATTGTCTACATTTCTCCTATTATCTGTGATAACAACATTAAACAACAAAATGGGCACTGAATTGCAAGGTACAGTTTTCCTTACAATACTAATGTCTTTTTCATTAATTTTTTACTAAGCTTTAACAACAGGCTGCAGGCTATGGTGAGTCCATTATACATATGGGTTCACACTGTTGGTCCAGTCTTACAGAACTGCAAAACACATTTGCATTTTCTATTTCCTGTTCCTTAACCCTATCTTCAGGGACGTGGTTATAATCAGTGTACATAAACTTACAGATGGCCCCCAAACTTTTATGTTCTTTCATGGGACAACATCAAGGTGACTCTAAAAAGCATACCACCCATCACTACTCAAAGACTCAAAAGGCACCCAGCAGCACAATGTGGGTAAGTTGAGAAAGATTCAACTTTATGCAAATGTCCTCTGACCAATAGGCAACAACCTGGTGACAAACATTTGTGCTCATTTTGATTTCCTCATCAAACGGAAATGGTTGTTTTCTACTCTGCTCAACTATGAAAAAGTACTTCAAACATAAGGTTTGTTATGGTCCGTGACCTCCCAATTCTCCACCATATAACAACCTGTTCTCATCGACATCAGCGCAAGTTGTGATGCTCTCGTTTTAAGTTTTGGCAAATAATTATTAAAGAAAAATACTCCAATTAATCACTTTATGAACTACTGACAGTTGATGAACTGACTGAGTTGGATTCTGTTTGAATCCTCTGCTGATATTTTGTGTGCTAAAATGCACTCGCAGTTGCATGCAACGATGGCAGTGTGGCTACCATCTATTAGTCCGGGTTTGTAGAAATGTCATCAAATGCCAAAAACGAAAGATGAGAGCTGAGAAAGCCGTTCTTAAAATGCAAAGCCGGAAAGGCTGAGCTGCCTTGGACCTCCAAATCCTGTTTATTCCATCTTGTCTATAAACTACATGAGCATTTGTTTATGTCGAATAATCTGTGGGAGAAAATAACCTGCATTTGCACTTCACCCCTCAAAGTGGAATCATAAATGTGATGACTGCCTGCATATGTTGAGATAAACAGCTGCTCAGATAACCCTTTTTAACCTTTACGTTTCCAAAGAAAGTTGCGAAAAAGGATTCAAAGGGAAAATGTACGGAAGCTGTTAGTTTAACTCTCTTTGTTGGGTATACAAAAGTTGTGAGTGGAGGACTGTCCTATGAACCACATCCTCTATATCACCTTCAATGAAAAAATCTGTTATGAATTTAGTTTTCCTTTGATGTATTCCCTGCTGATAGACTGTAATTGCAATTAATGTTCATTTCAGTTCTTTGCCTCTGAACTCCGGTAAGAAGATGGCTGCTTGCAAAAATTCCTTTCTTTATACAAAACAATGTTTCCCAATAAGCGAGTTAGCACAGAATGTTAAAAAAGTGAAGATGTCATTGACCATGGCTTTTTGGTATTTATAAACCAAGGCCAAGAAATCTTGAAAATAATGTATTATCTATTGTTTGTGTAGTATTAAAACTGTATTCTGCTTACGTGAGAGATCTTGCACGACTTTCTCACATCGAAGTTTTCTTTTTCATGGCATGAAGTCAGAGTTTCGAACTTCTTAGACCTCTCTACAATGCAGCAGGGGTTTGATGATGTTCTAGTTTCAAAACACTGCCTGTTGAATAGCCAAACCATGTACATAAATCATGTGTGAAATGCCACTGACAAACAATAGCAAGCAGTTTTCTTTATTATTGAAATATCTCAACATCTACGAGATAGATCGGCACACAGTGTATCCTAATGGCACTGTCTCCTAGAAATCGCGTTTATGTTTCTAATTTGCAGCAACAAGCCATGACCACCTCCCTATGAATTCCATCAGGTACAATAACGTAGCACTTTGTTCAATGGAAAATACCTTTAATCATCATCCTGGTAGCAATTACCTCTTCCTCAAAATATGACTGGCAAAGCAAATGAGATGTATATGAACATTATTTATAGCAGACAGGGTTGATCCTGATGACTATGGTGTGATCATCAGGCTTTTTTTCTTGCTCAAATGTCTCAGCAACTACTGGATGGATTGCCATAAAATTTGGTACTGACGTTCATATCCATATCTTTTAAGTCATAAATACACGTCACAAGCCCTCTGTGACACCTGTGACAAACAAACGGGTTAGTATTAAAGGGTTATAGTGCTAATCTTAAAATGATATTTGCTTTGTGTTTAGTATACTATCACCCACCTCTTATTAAAGAAACCGATATAGAACCCTAGAAGTTTTGTAGATGCAGTTTGTCTTCACATACTGATTTAGATGTGTGTTTTTTAATCTTTGGAAGTTATGTGATTGTGAAATTACACACCTCAAGTGTGTCGGCCGTGATGATTTTCAAGATTAAATACCAAGTTTCTATAGTGAAAGCAGAGATGAGGGTATTATTGTATTTCTTAGTTTTCTGGTGGCATGATTTGTCTCCAAATTCCCTCTGAAAGGAACGACACACTTGAGATCTTGACAACTGAAACCTGAAGCAGTGTATTAAAAGCTTGACTGCATTCCTCATCATCTCTCTCCTTCTCTCTCTCTAACTTTCTCTCTGTCCCCTCTCCTTCATATTGAACCCTTTCCTCTCCCCTAACTCCTCTTCTCCTCCTGTCTTTCTTGCCTGTTGTGCTTTGGTGTCCCCTCTCCCTGTCCTTGCCCTTCAGATGCCATGGGCGGTGGTTCAGGTCTGGGCACCGGAGCCATCGTAGGCATCCTCATTGTTGTCTTTTTCCTGCTGTTGGTGGGAGTGGACGTCACCTGCTACTTCCTCAACAAATGTGGACTCCTCATGTGCATTGCTGTAAACTTCTGTGGGAAGGCCGGGCCGGGTGCTAAGAGCAAGGACATTGAGGAGGGCAAGGCAGCATTCACGTAAGTTAGCCTCATCTTTGCCAGTTAAGATGTATGGCCTAAAGCTGCACTAATCAGTATCTTAGGGATGCACAATATTGGATTTGATCTGATTTTGTTGTTTTTCCTATGGTACGGCGCACGCTCCCCTCCTGCGCTGTTTTCTAGCAGCTTTTAGACAAATATTTTTTTGAATTTTTCAGTACAGAGTCAAACACTCATCATTGTCACAATTGGCCCAGACAGCCAATCAAATCAAGCATGAGGCAGGCTTTACTACTACCACTTTCTTTCTGTTTCGATGCCGTTTGCTATGCCGGTAAATAGGTGTGCTTGAATCCACTTTTCATATATATACGATCGCACATGCAGCTCCGCTCCGCAGGTAAACCAGCTGTTTCTTTCCTGACACTCTTTGCCAAGGTGATTTTGAAGCAGCCACACCTGTAGTGGTGTGTCTCTGCGCTGGATGTGTAACCAACAAAATTAAGTTTAAAAACCTCCTTCCATCCAGGATAATTCCATAGCCCTTGCTATGATACAGAAACATTTATCTGAGGCTACAGCCCAGTAAATTGAATTTACTACATCTCAGCTACATGCTACTTTATTTAGCTCACCTAGACTACATGTTGCTTTTCCTCGATTACACAAATAATGGAATTTTAGCTCTATAGTACAAGGATGTTTTGATCAACTATGGGGGATAAATTCCAGATTGAAATTGTGATAGCAGTGTTTTATTTATCCTTTTAAACATCTAATCACGTTGAAATTCTGTTTATTGCATGTTAGCTCATGTTTGATCCAAACTTCTGTTCAATATATGGAACTGTCTCTCATTGTTCCAGCTGTACACTTCACAACACAGCACAACAAATAAATATTTCAGGTAAACAGCTCACATCAAACAGATTTATTGAGAATGAATCCATGATACGTACAGAGTTGATATTTGGCACTGACGTGTCACTCGCAGCAAGCAAGCGCTTTAAAGCTCAGCTCAATCAGAGATCAGCTTGATGATAGCAGACAAGCCCCCAGGGGGAAACCTACAATCAGAGCCTGCAGGTGGATGTGAGGTGGAGGATGATCAAATGTTAGAGAGATGAGTGAAAGAATGAGAGAGTGTGTTTGACAGCTTAAAGGACTGTAGTGTCTTTGCATGTTTTAGCCTATTAATCAAAAATTTTAAATTGCTGCCGATCACCAGAATGTTCCTTTAAATAGACTTTCCGGTTACTGTACATTTGTGGAGTGGGGTGGACAGGCGTTCTAGAGGTGGATTATGTCAGTGTGTATGTGGGACACCGGAAGTTGCCTTCTCACCTAGCACACTAAAAGGTGCTGTAATCGAATTTCAGACTAGATGTCGCACTAGAGCATCAGCATCTCAGACCAAAATAAATGAGCGAATGCTACGGCCCACCACTGACAAAAACACTAGTTCATAAAAAACACTTTATTCAAACTCGACAGAAAGAGAATAAAACTCACCAAAACAGTCTTTGATAGTCTTTCCAATTTTCCAACAACAATCACCAACTCTGGTTTGTTCAAAATAAATCCACCCAGGTCCACCCTTAACCCTTAAACCTAGTGTGCTAGCTTGCTAACTGTCTGTTGCTCTCTGACAACAGGAAAGATGAGTCTAAGGAGCCCATTGTTGAGGTGAGAACAGAGGAAGAAAACGTCCCAAACCAAGAAGGAGGCGGTCACACCGAGCCTAATGAGACCACACCTTTGACAGAACCTGAGTGAGTATGGAACAGGACCAGTTCCCCAGACTAAGGGGCATCCTAGACTACCTTTTATTCATTTGGCTGAGAAGCCCAAAAGTAACACATTTTATACTTTACATTGTTGTGGGTCTTTAATTTTATATAATCTTATAGTTATCCTATAGTTTGTATAGATACCTGTATTCATCCTTTCACACCAATATGTAGCAGGGTCAACCGTGGTCCTAACCCATTCAGACCCATTCAGACCAACAACAAACCCTGCTGTCTCCTGGGTCTTTGCTTTATTGTGAAAACCATATTAGCATTCTAAACCCGAAACTCCAACATTCTCCCTGTAGGTTATTATTGTATTATTTTTTGTTTACCGCTCTACAAATATTTTGTTGCTAACATTTTGATTGTGTAGATTTTATGTTTTCACTGCAGCACTGTAGCACTCACTCTGCCTTGTTTATGCCCTGACCTGCACTCTCCCTCTACCCCTATATTTCTCTCGTCCTTTTTCTTTCTTTCCCTCACTTTTTTTGGCCCTATGCTTCCTCCCCTGTGCCCACTCCTCACTCCTCCCTCTCCTCCTTTGTTTGTCCTGCTCCTCCCCACCAAACAGGCCTGCTGCTGCAGACACCACCTCCACGGTGGTAAACTTGCTCCCCTCCACTGCCACTAACTCAGTTGCTGAGAGCTTTAGCACGGCACAGAGCAGTCCTGCTAGTGAGAGCACCAACCTTACCGCCAGCGCCTCCAGCCCAACCAAAGCCGCCCCTGCCAAGTCCTCCCCCAAAAACAGTCCTGCTGCCCAGTCTAGTTTGCCTAAAGCTAACACCCAACCTGATGTTGGGCCCCTGGTTGACCTGAGCGACACCCCTAAAGTTACCCCCTCGTCCAACCCAACACCCCTTGTCTCAGAGCCAGTCAGCCCGCCCTCTGCTAATGCCGACGGGCCACAGAGCCAGAGTGACCCAGTCAAAGCCCCTGACAGCACCCAGAATAAGGACTTACAAGTAGACGGCCCGACCAAGGATGCACCCAATACCCTGTGCACAGACTCGACCACACCAGCCCAAAATGAGTATGAACACTGCCATATCCCCATTCCTCAACTTGTCGCTTCTGCTCTGGTAGCATCCCAATAGCCCCCAACTGTGCCATTTTTAAAGGAAATATCCACCCGAAAATGCAGACACTGTAGTTTTGGTGTCAGCCTCAAATAATCACGTAGCTGAGATCAAACGGTTTCTCATGTTCGTCACATTGTGAAGGAGCTCAAGTGTACAAAGGTTAAAAATAACAGCAAAATGTGTCAGTCTCTCAGACTTTCATCCGCGCTTCAAAGCACTGCTGCCTTCTAGTAGAATTTTGATAGTGCTGCCTGATCACCACCTGAAAATATGTTTGGCTGTGGGCTTGGAACCACTATTCACTAAATATATATAAATATTACAGGAAAAGATCCACAGGCAGAGATACCAATGTCTCCACTAACTACAGCCTCATTATCCCTGAGTGAAATGCAGCCAGAAACCATGTTGCAGTTTGAAGAGCTTTCATTATAGACATGCCCCAGTTTGTAAAGGCTGCATGAATGGCCAGTAATATTGTCTTTTTGCATAAAATAAAAAACTTATTTTACATAAAATGCAAAAATGTAGTATCCAAAACATAACAAATACATAATGCTGGTTAAGAAAATTGGGTCCACCAAAAAAGTTATTTGCAACACCTGATCCCAGCATGCAGCAGGAATAAACAGAACATCTCAGATTAATGATTATAATAGGAACATTTAAGGGTTTTCCTTTAAGAAGGCCAGATATTGGCCATGAAGGTAAATGGCACAGTAATACAATCTATTGGTATGCCTCCAGCGTGTGCCTGTCTTCATTCAACCACCACCTCCACCCTCCACCTGTTTGTTTGCTCACACTCAATGTAGTCAACTTTTCTGCTACCATACAAATTGTTTACCTGATTAGTTGCTGCATCATTATAGGCAACATTTTTTTAGAACATACCATGTTCAAACTCCAGGTCTTCCAGCAATACTCCACGTACAAGCAGTCTTATTTTTGTAGTCGTGGCCATCATTAATAAAGAAGATAGTACTAAACAAGCAGTCAGATGATCAACAAATCTTTCCTTTTTAAAATCATTAAACACTATGTCCAATCTGCAATTCAGATGCAAAAATTTACAACACACAAATGATGTACAACTTTAAGTGTCCTCATCATTTATGGACCTAAAGCGGTTTAGATAAACTGACTCGGCTCGGTTTTTAAATTTGCCCCATCAGACTTTATTGTAGTGATGCTGCAGTGTTCTTAGATTACTTTGAGTGCAATGTTATCATAACCAATAGAAATGATGGTCAAAACTATGGAAATAAGCCTCAAGCTCTTCAAGTCATATGCCTATCCACGTAGTGTAAGCACTTTTCCATTATGCACTGTTTTGACTGCCAACTTAAAACAGTCATGAGTCTATTATCTGCCATGTTATATGAGTGAACACCACAGAATGTAATCTATTGCTGGCTGTATTTAATGCTTTAACAACAACCACATGGAAAAGATACAGCGAACAGAGTCCCGCTGCACAGCAAAAATGAAAAAATTTTTGTTCGTTGTATGAAAGAATGGAGAGATATCTACAGAAGAATACAATCCCTCTCAGTTTTGCGGAAGTGAATGAGCTTGTTCAAGTAAATTAAATACTTGTCACAAAGTGACCTCCAGCAGCACCACTTCATTGTTCTGTGTCCTCTACAGTTTGATAAAGGATACTAGATATTGAAGGCCAATTAAAATGCCAAACTCTGAATCTCAGAAACACGCCTCTGTTTTTGTTCTATTCCAGTAGAAATCCGTTATTTCGGTCATGCTAGGAAGGGTTATTATTTGGAGTTTTTCCCCAAGGAGTTTGCAGATGTTCCGGATTCCTGACACCCAGCGAGGATGATGAGAAAGCTATGGCAGAAGACGAATTACAGAGGCTTACTGACAATCAGTCCTCTTTCTCTCCCTCCTTCATCTCATACTTTGCTCACTCAGATGGCCAGAAGAAGGTGTCAGTGATGAAGTATGGGGAGTTGAGAGCTAGTTGGATACAGGGCTCTTGTCAGCTCAACATCACCTTGATATAACCAAACTTGTCATTGGAGGGATTTTTCTTCATAACTCTTTGACAGGGCTGAAGCATAGCTCTCCCACTGATCTATGTGGTGATCCTTCTTCAGCATCCCAACACTGAAATGTCTTGTCAGGCTTCTTGTGGGTTTATTGGATTTCTGAGTGACGTACTCCTCCGCAGGACCCATTTTTCTCTCTTGAGTAGAGACATATCTTTGCCGATCTTTCCACGTCTATAGACTCGTACAGATCACATACATTTTCACAGTCTCGCTACTCATATTTAAAACAAAGTTTCAAAACCAGGTTTCAGTCAGTCAGTGCAGCTTTGAATTGCTCTTGATTATGTGAGAGCCTTTTTTCAATGTTTCAGGAGAACAATAGCCTGGGTAGTTCTAAATGGGTCTAAATCTAAGTGCTTGAAGTACATTAGTTGAAAGTATAATTAACTTTAATGAAAGCGATGTAGTGTCCATTGATTTGAGAGTGACATAGTTATAGATAGTGCTGCATGAAGGAGTTTTATTGTTTAAAGGGCCGTTGGTTATAGACGATGGGTTCTCTCAGACTCACTGTGATAAATCTGCAGTGTTATCACTTCACTAAACCAGTGCATCGTGCTTTGATATTGTAAACCTAATCTCACAGTTGAACTGAGTCTGACTGAATTAAGCACAAAAATGAAAGCTGGTATTAAAATAAATTTTTGTGCAACATTCATGGCGACCTGAGACAAACCTCAATGAAGTCAGCCTGTGTATTGATGCTGACAAGAGTATACATTTAGTATAGTGGTTGTATAGAAGTGTCAATCATTAGACTGCTGTAGTTGAGATGTTATCAAGGTGACCATTTGAATTTGAGGGGGCTTGTGTTGTCAGTCTTACTGCTTGTGTTGCACAATTTTATCAATTGAGAACGTGAATACATTAATTTGGCATTGCAACATATTCTATTAACAATTAAGTACAGGTCGTGCAAGTTTTTGGATTTTGGTCAGTTAACAAAAGAATTAATACTAAGTGACAGCCACTCCTATTTACTTAAGTAAAGGGGTTTTGCTAGTGTTTTTTTTTTAGGATTGAAGGCCCGGTCTATTGGCTGTGCTTGTGTTAAATAACTTTTGTGGTGGCAGGTTTGGTAATAACCTACTTACTTCACTGCATAAAACTGGCCTGGTTAAGTCTATACGGCCCAGTATCTTTCAGATTTTATACAAAAAAAGATGACAGAAATCTGTTGCCTGATCATACCTAGAAAGTATTCACACAAAGTATGAAGACTTTTCTAGGAACTGTTTCAGGGCTGGATGTATTTATGGATCCTGTATTTGGGGCACTTCCTGGCCTAACTCTATAAGGTCCACAGAGAGCATGTATATGTGTCAGCAGGAAAGAGAAGTGTATTGATTGAAATTGCTATTTGAGAGCTGACACAGAGGACAGAGGAAGAGATGACTCTGTGTGACAGTGTAACAGTGAGCCACTACATTTTCAAAATGGAAGCCGCAGCAGCACATTACTAGAAAATATATTCCAACAAGGGTACATATGCTAACACCAGAAAATGTTCGACTTAAGCGAAGTATGGCTTTAAAGTCTTTTTCCATTGTGTCTTGGCTCAGTACAGACGGCGTGTAATCCTCTTGTGTATTGTAGTTTGTGTTGTAGGTTATGCCTCAGTCTTTCATTCCTTCATGCATTGTGCCTACTGTACCGGCCCTGTCTCATTCCACATCAGCATTCATTGTTCCTTGAAAATAGCTGTGACATCCATGTACTCTTATTTGATGTCTGGCTAGGATAGTGAGCTTGATCCCATTATGTGTGAAATTCATTCAGTTCCAGGAGGGAAAACAAATTCCCTCAAAGCATCTTGCATGTTTTCCCCCCATTTTTTTTTCCTTCTTTCTTTGAAAAATGACACAAAAGGCAGCTCAGAGCAGACAGTTTAGCTGTGAGAGAAAGACTTAGTGATTCACCGTTAACACAGTCTCCTCTCTTTTGTCTCTTTCTGGTTCTCTCTGGCTGCCGTGTTTGTCCCCATAGCGGTAAGACTGTGAAGGATGAAATCACCAAAGGCGAGACGGAGGTGAAGAACGCCACGACCGAGGTGAAGACAGTTCCCAACGAGGCTCCCCAGACGAACGGCAACGAAAGTAAAGCGTAATTCCCTCGACCCAAGAGCGACGGGAAGAAGAGGGTGGTTGGGTCAGGGAGGGTGGTTGGGTCAGGGAGGGTGGTTGGGTGTGGGTTTTTAAGGTTAAAAATGGGAGGCGGGGGGTCACAGTCACTGAAACCTCAAAGCAATGTCACACACCACCCCATCGCATCAGAAAAAAGCAACAGAAAAGCTAAAAAAAAAGGTTCATGGGTCTCCTTCTACAGTGTCTTCTGACCAGGAAAATGTAAAGACCTCATGCACATGCCTTAGTTCCTTTTACATCAGTTTCTATTTGTTTATTTGTCACAGAAAAAAGCAAAATTCACACTAGTTCACCCTCTCTCATATGTAATATTAAATTGATCAATATGGAACAGAATCTATACTATTTTCTCTAGATAACCATGGTTGGACTGTAGCTTTACTTCACAGATTACTGCCCTCTTCATGTACACACATAAGACTGGTACATTACCGATACTACTACTCTTAATGCAGTATGGTCATCATTGTGGTAATGAATTATGGGTCTTATTTCCTTTGTCAATATTTTGTTGTGTTTAAATAATGTGCAGACGTTACTGCCTATTTAGCTTTTTTAATGTGTTATTTCCAGGGCTAGAGATTAGAACATTAGCATGCCTGTTTTTGCAAAGTTACTGTATTTCTGTACATGTTGCTGTCATTTGGTTCCTCTTTAGATGTTTTTTTTTTTGGTTGTTTTTTCTTTTTTTCTTAAAAGTGGTCTCCATATGGTTCTGGTCCAGAAATCGTTTAGCCTAAGCTATGAGAAACGAAAGAAGACACCGGAGAAAGATTTATCATGCTATTAAAGTCTAGGTTCAGGGGTTTGAACCCTGTCTCCATAAAAGTTCTGTTTATGCAGTACATGTATATTGGTAAATGGGTTTGCCTAATACACTATGAAGGAAACGTACAGCAACAGCTGCAAAGATGATGTTCAGTAGCACAGCTTTTTTTCTTCTACCATATGGATTTCATAGAGATAGGACCAGGAGGGCATACAAAGTCCTGCCCCCTGTAGTTGGATTAATGCTACAAAATTTTGTAAGGAAAGTTAAAATGAACCAGATCTTTCTCTAACCCTTAACCAAGATCAATGAGTTCAAACATGGCCATAAAAATGTCAGTCATGCTTTAACTGCCACAGAGGATGCTAATATAGGAAATCAAACGAAAGGTCAGTGAGTGTCTTGAGTTCACTATGAACATATTGTTTCTTTGAAGATATGTTCATTGAGAACTAACCTGGCTAACATTATGTTTCCTTCACAATGTATTGGGTGTGGCAGTTGAGCTGTGTACGAATATTATTTTTAGGAGACAGGGTTGGGTTGGGTTGGGTTGGGTTTAGGGTAAAGAAATGGTCACATTGAAGATTGTAGCTGTGTTCCCTTCCAGGGGCCACATCCCTCAAAGTCCAATTTTCAAAACTGAATCATCAGAACGGGTCAACTCAAGCATCCCATTCTAAAGGAGAAATACTGCCTTATTTTGCCTGAATCGACCATTCAGTTGTTCATAATAACGCTTTCATTCCTCATCAACTCGTCAAAATATACTTATAGAATTCATGCCATAAACGTATGAGCTGGACCAATGAAAAGGTTTCTACAGGATGTAAATAAGGAAGCCAGGCTTAAAGTCCTCTGGTTCTCCTTAAAGTAGCCATGTAGGTAGTGAACGTAAATTAAATTATGTGGATAGATTTACCAGTATCATGGCACATTGATTGCCAGTTAACCATTGTGTCCTGAAATGAAACATCAGAACTATAAACTATCCTGGGCTGTTCGAGGGCAACTTCCTGCTGGTCATTTTTAACCTCACGATCTGATGAGGACCACCCATTAGTTTTGCATAAGGTGAATCCTCTGTAGGCCGTCCTGTCTCGGTAGTTCGTATCTTCACTGCCATCCCCGTAGAAACCACGTTCTTCGAAGGAGGTGGCGCCTGTAATGGGACACAGGTCATGTGTGAATTGTTAATATTGTTATTTCTTTAGGTCGATGTGAGAACACACCTTTATCTCCTCTTTCACACACACATACACCTCACCTTTTCCAGAGGGCTCCTTTAAGCATTTCGGACCAGTTCTTTTACCTGTCAGGTTTGGGCTTAACAGTGACTTAAAAGGCCACGTGTGTTTTGTCAGAGCAATTTCAGTAAGCAGGTTTCGACATGAAGTTGACATGTTTGTTGAAAGAAAACAAGCTCTTGCAGGCTTGTCAGCCAAACTCGTTGAATTCTTGACACACCAGTTTCCACTGCCTGGAATCGGTCGCGAATATCACATTCAGTTTGTTTCCTTGGGGTTAACCATCTTTACCTTCTTCTCTGGTTCATAGCCATTGTTGCCTTCTCTGTGCTAACCAATATTGTTCACTGCTTATAACTGACTGGTCTGAGGGCTCAGCTTTCTGAGATTTCTACACCTCTGAGTGACCAAACATCTGATGCCTTCAGTCGTCGTTTTCTCTCTTTCACCCCAACTGCTGTCAGTGTGAGTCACCACTGCTTCCACTGTCCTGTATTTCAGTCTTTATTTAGTTTGTGCCTGCAGTGATGTGACATGTATTGTAGGTTTAGTACAGTTTATCACTTTTTCGAAATTCACTCTATTCTTAGCACAAGGTCCACTTAATGGACAATTTCTGGAAAATGTCTGGAAATTATTAAAGGAGCCACAGTTGGCCTAGAGATTTTGTCTTTTTCCGTTAGCCTGGCCAGATATTAAAGGCGCTCTAAAAACATGAAGTTCAGATTTATGAATAAAGAGAATACACACAATGTAGTTCAGTTTAATTTATTTGGAGTTTGGACAAGTTTGACTTCAGTAGTACCACTTTTAAAAGATTTATTTGTCTTCAGTTTGGCCCATTGGTCATTTTACCCAATATCCGAGAGGACTGATTACATGATCACTATCTGTGTCTACTATAAATATATCTGTCCATTGTGCATGCTCAAACAGCTAGCAATATACTAACTAAACACTAGGCAGCTGAGACTTGTACCGTATTTAAATTTCCTGTAAATAAAAGTAATCATTTTACTGCTGAAACCATGAACTGCTACAACCTGCATTTAGCTTTGCATGTGGCGGTGATTAGCATCCTTGCTATGTTTGGCAGGGCTAATCTAAGCCTGGATGGTTAGCTAATTTTGATGTAGACATAACCAGTCCCAACCCTCCAGACTTTTTAAGGGCACTGTTAAAGCACAATAGAATACAAATGTATCTCAACCAAAAGAATGAACATTTAGTGAAACACATTTATCTTCATGGTTGCTATTCGCTACAAAGTCGGGTTAAGATAGCTAACCAACAAAAACACTGCCGAGATTATCGTCAGCTTGTTATGTGACCAGCCTGTAACAGTAGAACTGTTTCAGTCAGTGCAGGAAGCTAATGCTTCTGCTACTGCTCTGATCAACATAATAAATTTGAACATGTGGTTTTGTCTACCAGCATCTGTGATCTCATATAGTCTTCCACTTTCACCAGCATCACACTATCTCTGTCCCACTAAGACCAGTTGGCTCTACCTCTGTACTCTTGGCTTATATAGACTTTATTAATCATGAAATTTTAGATTTTGGATTATGTCAAGTTCAGATTGACATGCACACTGAACAGAAACACAGAGGTGACTTTGTTACCAATCCTCATTACATATTTGGTAAACCAATGAGTTAAACTACCAAGAACCATCTTAAACTAATGAAAAAGCCCACCAGTCACAGCTCCTAAGGGTTCCTTTGGAAAACTGTGCTGGTCCTTTTTTCAGCAAAACTGAATGGGAAAGAACCACAATGTGGCCAATTTTAACTAACCAGGAAGGAAATTGATCTGTGGTGTTTAAAGGTTTCTTTTTATGCACCGAAACTAATTGAAGGATTTCAAAAAGATCTTTCTCAAGCCATAGTACCCTGCTGTGGATCTGAAAGGTTAAACAAAAGAAACACAAGTCTGACCACCTTTTGTTGTACAATGTTCCTCCTACTTTAGACTGCAAGCTAGTACACTGTGAATGTGTGAATCCATTGTGTCCTTTGTCATAGAGTTGAGCAAATAGATTGATTGTGAAAAGATGTAGCTGATAGTATGCGACAGAATTCATGACGTCAACGTACAGAAGTCTGACAGCAGCAAACTGGAAAGACACAGTGCCTTTGAATAAGAAAATGGTCGCATGCATTCCATTCCTCTCAGTGTCTGTCCATTAAAGGTTTCACTTCTCAATCTTCCTGCAGATTTGCTTTTTCATTTTTCTACATTTCACAGGTGTAAGTTAAGCAGTGCTTTGTTTAGATTGTGTCGTATATTCACAATAGCTGAGTTGGTGTTCTGGTACATACAATGGGTCCTTTACACTGTCCTTGTTAAAGGATAATTTTGGTTTATCTTATTTTAGTAGGTTTTGCCATCCTTTCTATAGTTATGATGAACATTGTACTAAAGCAAATTGCTCAGATGTGAGAAAATGGCACCATCTCTAAACTAATAAGAGCACCAGTGTGGCAAGAAACACGAGCAGGTTGTAAAGGTTAGCCTAACTTTTTGGGAAGGAAAACAAAAGTTCAAAAGTTCGTCACAGTTTACATGCTGACTTCCTGGCTCAGTTTTGACTTACTATGCTTACTTTAGTTGCTCCAATGGACCCTAACCCTGGCAATCTACGCAAACCAGGCATGCATAAAACATTTAGAATTACAGAAAATAGGCTTATTAGACCAAATCTAAAACCAAAGTTACCAACATTTCAGGTGCACTAACTACTTTCAATTTTATTTCCAAATAAAGTGACAACCTGCTTATTTTTCTTGCCGGGACGGACCTCGATCTCTCCAAGATCTCGCCATACAATGTAAGCAAAACCAATGGAAATGATGGGCGAAGCTACAAAAGTAAGACCCAAGCTGTAATAAACTGGAACTACCCTTAAAAGAAAACATCTGGACTTACTGCCACCTCATCCTAGATAACTGGCACCACATTATAATGACATCTAGCACACCATTACATCTAAGTACGAGACACAATGACACTTTGCTCAGGTCCCATATTCTCTAAAATATCTAAAATTGTCAGATTTGTCAGAAGCAAGCATGCAAAATATATTAGAAAATGATCATATTCTCACAGTTTTTGATAATGAAAAAATAATGAAAGCTTCATGTATTGTATTGCTCTTTTTTCAAGTGTTGTGTAACTTGTCCTGTTTCCCAGACTTGTTATGTTTGCTTCAAAAGAAAACTGTTTTTGCTTTACAAAGCTCTGAAATGTAATTTTTTTTTTTTTAAAGTGTCATGAGCAAATTTTACTGTTAAAGCTGAAATACAGTGTGCAAAAATACAAAAATAACCATGTGAGCTTTTTGTCTTGTCCAAAAACAAGCTTGAAAATATTCTCCAATTGCAAATGTGGAACCAAGTTTTGTGCAAGTTTACGTAAAAAACGTTTTCTACCCGTGTCCCGGCTCCTGAAATCCATTTGTGAAGGACACCGTGTGAGCAAGTCCCCCTTGTTCAGTTACCTCAAAATTGCAAGAATGACAGAGGCAGCCTTGCATTTTTCTCTTTGAGTCTGCCACTTGATTCAGTCAGAAAAAAAGACATCCAGCAGATTTTTTTCATCTTGCTCAGTGTTTGCAAGGAGACAAAGCAACATGAATTTTTCAGGGTTTGAAAAAGAGAAAAGCATCCTGCCAAGGTTCTCTGTCTCTGAGTGAGAATCACCAACACACAACAGTGCAAACACCCAACTGCTTCATACTCGGTCAGAGAGGAGACTTGAGCCTCCACTGCCAACAGCTGGTCACTGTCATTGATCCAGAGCTCATACTGAAGTTCAGACATTGGTAGGCACTCCTCTGTCTGTGTGTCTGTCCACTGTCACTGGTGTAAATACTGAATACTAACTGATGAAAGAAGGAAAACACACTTTGACTTTGCATTTCTGCCAGAAATTCTTGTGTTCAATAAAGGTAAAGAAAAATCAAAAACAATTTGTAAAGCTTTTTTCTTCACTTACAAGGACTGTGTGGTACTTTGTAGCACATGCAACAGACTTTTGATTTAAAATGTTATGTATGAATATGTTCAATAAGAGTAAAAGGTATAACAGTTACCAGGAATTTACACACATGTACACATCAGTATGAAGCATAAAATAACAGAGTAAAATAAGATTCAGGGCAACCTATCCATCTTTTGCATAATCAATTCCGTTTATACTTAAAATGTTTTAATAGTTATCCAGTCTTTGTGTCAGTAGAATCATGTTTGAATGTTTTTTTTCACCCGTGCTTCAGCCTTCAGTTAA